TTTTTTCTTTTGTTATTTTGTCATGAATTAAGTAAACCAGCTAGATAGTTTAAGGGGAACTTAACTTAAGAACGTTTGAGAAAAATTGATCCTTGTGTCGCAGCATAAGTTACGGTATAAAATAACTTACATACCTTTGATCCCTCCCTCCTCCCCCCCTCTCGTAACTGAGGTTCAAAGAGACCATCTAATTGCCTAAGTACATGTAGGACACAAACGTGGTTTTTCAAAATGGCGTCAATTCCAGCGACTATACCGTTGGAGTGAGCTGGGTTGACCTGGCTTAGTGAAAACTGGAGGTTGAGATCCGCGGAGTTGTGTGTGTGTCCCCCTCTCTCTCTCTCCCCAACACCTGATAATGGCTGCCTTCTTTCCCTCCCTCCCCGCTATTACCGTCACAAGTTACCCAATAAGACAGACGAACTTTTGCCAGTCAAGGTCTTCTGCCTAATAGACACACACACACACACACACACACACACACACACACACACACCGCACACACACACACACACATACACACACACATGTTGATTAGAACCGGGGAAAATAGATGTAATAATAATAATAATAATAATAATAATAATAAAAGCGGAACATTTATATATATATTTTTTATAATATACACGCCATATATGCCATTAAACTTTGCAGTACATAATAGAGGCTACGGACGGTTGCACGGCCATACGGACGGACCTAGGAATCCACGGACAGACGTAAATAATGACGCAGGAATTCAAGGACGGAAGTACTGAACTAAATGATATTGGTATCCACGAGCGTACGTCGGTTGGTCCGTCTGTGCGTCTGTCTGGCCGTCCGTGCGTCCGTCGGTGCGTCTGTCTGTCCGTCCGTGCTGAGGTTGTCAACGCGATAACTTGCTGAAGGAATAACTTGGAATTTGCCGTTAATGTACCGAGTCGTGGCCCCTTGGACTGGCTTGTGGCGCTGCGGGGGACCTGATCTGACCTGACCTGACCTGACCTGACCTGACCTGACCGTTTCTACTGCCAACCTTATTCGTTAAAGGAGTCAATTCTCTTAATAATCTCCTTGTGTTCGTTCTTCTCCTTTATTCGTCTTCTTCTCTTCTTCCTTCTCCTCTTCTCTTCTCCATTTTCCTTCTTCTCTCTTCTTCATCTTTCTCTTCCTCTTCATCTCCTTTTGTTTTTTTATTCAAATTCTTCCTCATTCCCTCATCTTCCTCCTCACTCTTTCCTCTCTTATTCGTCATCATCGACCTCCTCCTCCTCCTCTCTTTTGTCCTTCCTCTACTCCTCCCATCAATCTCTTCTCCTCTCCTCCTCTTCTCCTCTCCTCCTCTTCTCCTCTTCTCCTCTCCTCCTCTTCCTCTCCTCCTAGTTCCCGTACCTATAGTATGCTCACCCACATAGTCTTACTCAAGATGTTTCTGTGTCCGTCTGTCAATCTGTCATAGGAGTGGCTACTATCCGTGTGTCTCCGTGCTTCTATCCGTCCAGCCGTCTCTGTCTAAGCATCTATCCGTCTATCCATTTGGGTCATAAACACAACAACTCCAACAACCATACGGTCAGATCACATCAAGACATATTTGACAGTCAGCCATTTCTGTCCATTCTGTCCAGAGTTGTGGCCGGCGGGGTTTAAAGAAATTATGATTAGCAACGTCATAACAACAACAACAATAATAATGATAATAATAATAATAATAATAATAATAATAATAATAATAATAATAATAATAATAATAATAATAATAATAATAATAATAATAATAATAATAATAATAAACATTGCCACCACCATTGTTATGAACCATCCGTGTGCCTTTAGGGTCAGTTTGAGTCGGGAGCCAGTGGGGGCGGTGGGTGGCACTCTGGGTGGTGCAGTGGGCGGCGGGCGGCACTCTGGGTGGTGCAGTGGCCATGTTGGTGCCACTCTCCTTGATCAATAGTAACACTGCAATGCCATACTGCATCCGGCTTTTGTACGCCACCATCTGGCTTTTGTGCTCCCCCATCCGGCTTTTGTGCTCCCCCATCCGGGTTTTGTGCACCTTCATCCGGCTTTTGTGCACCTTCATCCGGCTTTTGTGCACCACCATCCGGCTTTTGTGTACCACCATCCGGCTTTTGTGCACCATCTGTCTTTGAACCCCTGATCAGTTGTAAGCTTTACGCTGGCCGGGTATTGGGAGGGTGAGGGAGAGAGATGGTGAGAGTGAGGGAGAGACAGAGGGTGAGGGAGAGACAGGGTGAGGGAAAGAGGTGATGAGTGAGGGAGAGAAAGAGAGAGAAGAGAAAGAGAGAGAGAGAGAGAGAGAGAGATGTTAAGACCGGATGCTACATATACTGTACGTAGAGCCAGCCAGCCAGCCAGAACCGGATAGTGAGACCAGACTTAAAGTGGCCAGGTAATTAAGAGACTAGATGTACCTGGAGACAGTTAGTGCCGCAGACTGTACCTGGAGACAGTTAGTGCCGCAGACTGTACCTGGAGACAGTTAGTGCCGCAGACTGTACCTGAAGACAGTTAGTGCCGCAGACTGTGCCTGGAGACGGTTAGTGCCGCAGACTGTGCCTGGAGACAGTTAGTGCACCCGAACTGATGTGTTCGCTGCACCACAGATCTAAATGGTCCGCTGTCTCTGGGGCCGTTAAGACTGACTTGACACTCCCCCCCTCCAGACTCTCCCTCCTTATTCCCCACTCCCCCTCCTTATTCTCCTGACTCTCTCCTTCCTCCCTCCCAGGTTCTCTCTCCTCCCCGCCACTCCCCAGGCTCCTCCTCCTTCCTTCCCCTTAGGCTCCTCCTCCTTCCTTCTCCACAGACTCCTCCCCCATAAGACCTTCTCCTCCTTCCTTCCCCCTAGGCTCCTCCTCCTTCCTTCTCCACAGACTCCTCCCCCATAAGACCTTCTCCTCCTTCCTCCTCAGCCACCCCTTCGCCCCCTATCCATGAGACTGAGGGCTACAGGTTATTTTGGGACCAGACAAAAAAACTGGACACGCGAATTACGGGACTTGTGGTTTTGTCCAAAATAACCTGACATAACCTAACCTAACCTAGCCTAACCTGACCTGACCTGACCTAACCTGACCTAACCTAACCTAACCTGACCTAACCTAACCTAACCTGACCTAACCTAACCTAACCTAACCTAACCTAACCGTCCTCCATCCCATCTATGGTCTGGACGTCTCATTATAGTCTTGGTATAATATCGGCGGCGCCATTATTGTCACCGGGGCTTCTCACACTTTGGTCGAGAACGAAACTATAAAGATAATAACGAGGGCAAGTGTGGCTACAGAATCGTACCCCTCTTTCCTCCCCTTTCTCCCTTCCCCCTACCCCCTTCCTACCTCCCTTGCCACCCCTCTCTCTGTGCCCCCCCTCCCTCGTTACGTCTCTTGTTCTGGTAGAGTCTTGGCACATTTTGGCCGCCATTTACTCGCACTTGGCTGGGCTTCAAACCAGGTCGAGGACGTCCCCGCCGCTGCACCTTATAAATGGAACCAATCTTCATATCCCGGCCAACACGAGAGACTGCCGGGAAGCCTCTCCTTATAATAAGAGCCAAGGCCTTCTGTGGCGCACACTTAGGACTCTGGGATAGGACCTTGGGCCCTTTAGGACTTTGGGGCCCTTTAGGACTGATGGGCCTTTAGGACGGGAGGGAGGGGGGCTTTGTTCAGTAACTGGGACAGCGACAGTTACTTAGATCCTCCAATTATGTGATCTGGGACACACAGCCTCGTAGTGGCCGGAGTCACCAAGGCTTGTAAGGTAAATATTTCCCCGTAGCTGGAGATGTTGGACGGCATCTGTCTGTCTAGTTTAAGCAACGATGAAGGGATCAATTTTCACAATATCATAAGTTTACAAGTTGAAGAAATATTACTTGAAGTTTACACACGTAGAAAAAACATAGCTTCAAAATTTTACACTTGTATTTTATGCCCGTGTGTGTGTGTGTGTGTGTGTGTGTGTGTGTGTGTGTGTGTGTGTGTGTGTGTGTGTGTGTGTGTGTGTCAGGAGGAGTAACAGGAAAAAAACCCTTGGTGGAAAAAACAGGTGATGTATGACAGCGGCTGCCCACATATCCAGGTTCACTCTTGAGGTTATGTTGATGGGTGGTGATGCGGTGGAGGAGTGAAACGCAGTGCTCGCCTCCCGTCCTAAGGGTCACTGGTTCGCGCCCGGGGTAACCTCTCTCGACCCTGTTGGAAATGGGCACCTGACTCTAACGTGTTAATAGATAAATAGAATAGTGCAAAATGGATGATATTTTGTACGCGATGATTAATGGTTTTCAATGAGAATATATTATAATACTTGGTGGTCTTACAACTTAAGGAGGCTTTTGGGTATAACGGGGGAGGGGGGGGGGTAAGAGAACTTCCCCCCTCTGCCTCCCTGATATACTACGTCTGTATTATTACCTCCGTCAGCAGCAATGGTCTGGCTCCATAAGACCTGCAGCACTTTAAGCGGCGGTATATGTAAGATTACCTGTATACCTTATTTGCATATCCAATTTACATAATTATCGTCGGCGGCTCACACTTCTACAGTTATTATGAACCCGCTCTTCAGGTGTTATCTTTGATGTCTGTCTGTTTAGTTCAGCCTCAGGACCCAAGTAGAATTTAGGAGATGCGTGTGTGATGTCTGTCTATCTATCTGTCTTTCGTGTTGCCGTCTCTCAGTTTCATGTCATCGTTGTGTTTACTCAGTAGGTATTTCAGGCCGTGAAGCAGTGCTCTTGTAAACACTGTCTCACCTGCTGCCACCTGTCAGTACGCACCTGCTATAGTTTGACATGAAATTCTTTTGACAAACAAACTGAACCGACAAAGACACACTTAACTTTAGCTGAACTTAGTTGAAATGTATACTGTGATCGTTAGGTAGATGTAGTAAGTAGGTTAGGTTAGGTTCGGTTGGTAGTTATAGTTAAGTTTGATGAGTGTGACGTCAGCGAGGTAATCACTGTTGTTGTGTGTTGACAGGTGAGCAACAACAGCTTCAGCACGGCCCTCACCACCCGCCGGCCCATGACCCTCGAGAACATCGAACCCTCACACCGGGAGGACCTGTGGCGGCTTCTGGGCCTCATCCAGGACAGCGACAGACTGACCACCGTCCGCAGGGTGTCCGTCGACCCCGCGAGTGGTAATGTTGGGCGTCGTTGTCTCAAGAGCACCCGCAATGGGTCGGCCAAGAGCGTGGACGGCGCCACCTCCCGGAGTAAGATCCTGTCGCGGGACATGTCGGTGGACTTGTCGCGGCAGCGCTTCGGGGTGTCGCTCAACACGACAGCCGCTTCGCACAAGTACCACAGGTCGTCTCTGTCCGCAGCTCCGCCGCAGGTCGACCGCAGCCATACACAAAGAGGACCCTGCGACAGTCTCGAGGAAGAGTCCAGCGCCGCCACATGTTCAAACTCCCCCCAGAGCGCCTCAAGCGGGGTTCCTCCTCCTTCAGGTCTCCCTCCTATCGAGTCATCCAACCACAAGCAAAATTCCAGACCTAAGTTGACCTCAAGCTCAGGGTTGTTCCCCACGCACTGTAAGCCGCCAGAGAGTTCGAGCACGACCTCTTCGACGACCTTCTCGCCCACCTCGCTGCTGTGTGTGCCCGTGGCGTCGCCGGGCAAAGAAACTACGGCCGTGCTTGCCTGTCTGGTGGATAAGGTGGCCGGGGGAGACTTCACCCGCCAAGACGTGCTCAAAGTTGAGGAGTGTTTCAGGTGAGTGTATATATATATATATATATATATATATATATATATATATATATATATATATATATATATATATATATATATATATATATATATATATATATATATATATGTGTGTGTGTGTGTGTGTGTGTATTTCTTTACGCCATCTGCCACTGTCTACCCAGCAGTAATTGGCAACCTGGGTGTAAATCAATTTGCGGATCGTATTCCGGGGTAATGGTTAGCCAGTGCAGTTGGAGAGTTGTCCGGTCTTCTCGGATCATTCCTTGACACTGGGTCACACAGCTTGTTATCTTAGGGTGTGGATGTTGTGTTGGCGACAGCTTCAAACACCTTAAACAAATTCACTCCTAGGTGGCCCCAGAGCTGACCATTATGTATGTGTGTTTATGTTGGGTTGAGACTTGTGTCATGTTGTCCTATGGCCGCCAGTAAAACCATAGTTATTATTACAGTTCATGAATACATCCCCCCACACACATGTTTATGTAATTCTCTGTAAAATTAACTTGATTGACTGCAGTTTTTGTTGCATATTCGCTGAGGCGTGTCTGTCACTCAGACTGTCTACATGTGTTTGTGTGTGTGTATTCTAGACAGACAGACAGACAGTCTGTCTAGAATATACCAGTGTGTCTGTCTGTCTAGAATATTACCAGTGTGTGTGTGTGTGTGTGTGTGTGTGTACAGTGTTGTCGGTGATGAGTGTGTTGATCTGTCTGTCACAGGTACACGGTGGGGATCTTGGTCAACACGGCCACGGCAGAGATGGAGAGAAGACTACGCACACAGTGTCAGGCGCTGCTCAGCGTCGCCCAGAACCTCTTCACCCACCTCAGTAAGTTGTTGAGCCAGGGCGTCTGGGACCTAAAGGACGCCTGTGGGGACCTTGGCAAATTAAGGGTCAGAGAGGCGTTTAGGACTTAGGTTAATTTTTATGGTCCTGGGATTTCAAAGTTCAATTTAGGGACTTTAATAGACCATATTAAGTCAGGTAAGGGGTGGATAAGGGAGGGACCTGATGTATCTCTTCTCACACTTAAGGGAATTAGGGATCAGGAGTGACCTTGACCCTTGATGTATTTTTTCCTCCTAAGCTTAAATAATTTATCCTTTCTTTGTCAGCTCCTAACTTATGTGTCGATTCACTATTGTTTGAGGTATTTAGAAACACACACACACACACACACACACACACACACACACCTCAGATCTTGACGACTACTTACTTAGTTTTATTTATCTAATCCTAATCTTGGTCTACACACAGTTTGTATACTTTACCTGAGATAAAAAATACCTGCAATACACCTGCTAAAGTAACTCGGTGGAAACGAGTAATAAAAGGAGCAAGATAAAGTCAGATTTGTGTGTAATGTAAACAAGAACTCACGTCAGGCAGCGATGTTCAGCCCCACCCACCACCACTCAGATAGCTCAGGCCGCGTTACAACTGGTCGCTGCCTCACTGTCGCCCAGGTTATCGTACACACACAAACACACTCGTCACAATAGGCCAGATTACACGGTGGGTTATGTTGCTTTTAGATAAATTGCCCTTTGAGTTCCTGCCATGTCGTTACTACGTTATATCACGTTGGCCCCTGAGGCACTTGGGGGGGGATTTCCTGTGTTGACCGGCGTATGTTGTGCTGTGGGTCAGACCTTATCTATTAATTCATTATCTCTATCTTTCTCTCTCTTTCTTTGACTGTGTGTGTGTGTGTGTGTGTGTGTGTGTGTGTGTATGTGTGTCCACCATCAGTTCTCAGCGCTATCTAAGAGGACCTATACAGACGGACGTGGATTCTGGCCAGGTTTCCGCCATGCGTGTTGACTTGGGGTAAACAAAGTCGTGTTATACCAAGAGACACACCTACCTCCAAGCCCAGGTGGGTGGGTGGGTGTGTGTTAACAAGAAGGAGGGACATGGTGATAGTTTAGTATAGGTGGACACGCTCTTCACCTCCCATGACAGCTGAGGAGAGAGAGAGGAGAGAGAGAGAGAGAGAGAGAGAGAGAGAGAGAGAGAGAGAGAGAGAGAGAGAGAGTATCATGGTATCAGTTCAAGGGGGTGCTGATAGTTGGGCTGGAGACTCACTTTAAGTTTTAGTTGCTCACCAATCTATCTATCTATCTATCTATCTATCTATCTATCTATCCTCCCATCTCCACACACCCCTCCATCCATCCATTTAAGGCGTGTAGGGGCATGTGTCAAGGCGGGGCGTGTAGGGCGTGTGTCAAGGCGTGTAGGGGCGTGTGTCAAGGCATGTGGGGGCGTATTTCAAGGCGTGTAAGGGCGTATGTCAAGGCGTGTGTCAAGGCATGTAGGGGCGTGTGTCAATGTGTGTAGTGGGCGTGTAGGGGCGTGTATCAAGGCGTGTAGGGGCGTATGTCAAGGCGTGTGTCAAGGCGTGTAGGGGCGTGTCAATGTGTGTAGGGCGTGTCAAGGCGTGTAGGGCGTGTGTCAAGGCGTGTAACAGGATGGGACAAACATGAGCAACGTTCCTTTAAACTGGTTCTTGTCTCTTATTGACTCTAAAGCTGACTGTACGTACATGGCAGGGTGGTGTACATGGCCAGGGTGGTGCATGGCCAGGGGGTGGGGGGCATGGCCAGGGGTGCATGGCAGGGGGTGTATGGCCAGGGGGTGCATGGGGGGGTATGGCCAGGGGGGGTGTGCATGGCCAGGGGTGCATGGCCAGGGGGTGCCAGGTAGGGAGGGGATGTGGTGCATGGCCAGGAAGGATGCATGGCCAAGGGGGGGAGCATGGACAGGGTGTGGTGCATAGCCAGAAGAGGGTAGTGCATGGTTAGGGGATGGTGTGGTGTATGGTCCCTCAATCTTTCTCTTCCTCCTCTCCCTCAAACGTGCTTCGACCTCACCCACTCCCCCCTCACCCCCTTCACCCTCACACCTCACTCCCCTCACCCTCACTCCTTCCAACAGCCCTTGCCTATCGGGACACACATTCGTCCCTCAAAAATATAAATACAAATTGGACTCAAATCTTTTCCGCCTTTTTTTTGCCTTTGAAATTATTATTACTTTTTCCATCGATCAAAAGAGGTCGAGGGAAACGGTTCCACTATTCCTGGTTCCACTACCTCCTGGTTCTACTCCTCCCTGGTTCTATTACTCCTCCCTTCTACTACTCCCTGATTCTTTTCCTCCCTGGTTCTATTACTCCTCCCTTCTACTCCTCCCTGGTTCTATTACTCCCTGATTCTACTACTCCCTGATTCTACTACTCCCTGGTTCTAATACTCCTTGGTTCTCCCCTCCCTCCCCCAGACGACGTGACGGTGCTACTACGGGAGATAATGGCGGAGGCGCGGCAGCTGACGGACGCCGAGAGGTGCTCCCTGTTCCTGCTGGACCGTGAACAGAACCAACTGGTGGCCAAGGTGTTTGACGGAGAGCGGAAAGAGGAGGTGAGTGGCGGAAGGAAGTGGAGGAGGTGGTGGTGGTGTAGGAAGGAAGTGGAGGAGGAGGTGGTGGTGTGTGAAGGTTGGAAGTGGAGGAAGAGGAGGAGGTGGTGGTGTAGGGAAGGAAGTGGAAGAGGAGGAGGTGGTGTGTGGAGGTTGGAAGTGCAGGAAGTGGAAGAGGAGGTGGTGGTGGTGTAGGAAGGAAGTGGAAGGGGAGGAGGTGGTGGTGTGTGGAGGTTGGAAGTGGAGGAAGAGGAGGAGGTGGTGGTGTAGGAAGGAGAGGTGGTGGTGTGTGGAGGTTGGAAGTGAGGAAGAGGGAGGAGGTGGTGGTGTAGGAAGGAAGTGGAGGAGGTGGTGGTGTGTGGAGGTTGGAAGTGGAGGAAGAGGAGGAGGTGGTGGTGTAGGAAGGAAGTGGAGGAGGTGGTGGTGGTGTGGGAGGTTGGAAGAGGAGGAGGTGGTGGTGTAGGAAGGAAGTGGAGGAGGTGGTGGTGGTGTGTGGAGGTTGGAAGTGGAGGAGGTGGTGGTGTGGGAGGTTGGAAGTGGAGGAAGAGGAGGAGGTGGTGGTGTAGGAAGGAAGTGGAGGAGGTGGTGGTGGGAAGGAAGTGGAGGAGGTGGTGATGGTGTGTGGAGGTTGAAGTGGAGGAGGTGGTGGTGTGTGGAGGTTGGAAGTGGAGGAAGAGGAGGAGGTGGTGGTGTAGGCGAAGGAGGAGGTGGTGGTGGTGTGGAGGTTGGAAGGGAGGAGGTGGTGGTGTGTGGAGGTTGGAAGTGGAGGAAGAGGAGGAGGTGGTGGTGTAGGAAGGAAGTGGAGGAGGTGGTGGTGGTGTGTGGAGGTTGGAAGTGGAGGAGGAAGAGGAGTTGAAGCAGGGAGAGGAGACGTTTTACGGGAGGAAGAGGGGAGGAGAAGGTATAGGAAGGAGGGAGGGAAGGAAGGAAGGAAGTGGAAGAGGAGGGAATTGGACAGAGACTAAGTAAGGAGAAAATTAAGAAAGGAAGAGATAATAAAAGGAGAGAAGAAAGAGACGCCGGGATGGAGTGTCTCTCTCTCTCTCTTTCTCTCTCTCTCTCTCTCTCTACCCTGAAATTATTAGCCTTCAAAATGGCTCCCATATCGTGCTGAGACTCTTATGTTATCCAGACTCATCCTACATAAGCTCTCAGGCCTCTCAGCTTAGGCTCCCACGGCCATACAGGACTAAACCTCATCGTTCCTCTTAGGTCGATGATCGTATCGCTGTGTCCTGTTAACTTGAGCCTTAATACCGGGGGAGGGGAGGAGGGGGATCTGGGAGACTCTCTGGTGTGTGTGTGTGTGTGTGTGTGTGTGTGTGTGTGTGTGTGTGTGTGTGTGTGTGTGTGTGTGTGTGTGTGTGTGTGTGTGTGTGTGAGCTTCAAAAGGTTGGGGGTGGATGGATGTCTTGATTTAGAATTGCTTCGAGAAAAATAGTGAGTCCTGGTGATGTGGTGAGCGTCTGGTGGTTGGTGACGAGTGAGGGTGGGTGGGTGGGTGTGGGTGGGTGGTGGGTGGGTGGGTGGGTGGGTGGGATGGGCGGAGGGAAGGGGGACTTGGTAAGGATGATAGTGGAGGGGGATTATGGTTTGTAGAGAATGAGCTATGGGATGAGGGAGGAAGGGCGAGGCAAGAGGGTGGGTTGGCGGGCGGGAGGTGGGTAAGGAGGGACGGAAGTGGGTTGGGAAGGACTGGAGGGTGAGGGAAGGAATGGAGGTAGGAAGGAGTTAAAGGAGAGACTGTGCGAGGAATGAGTTAAGAGGAGAGTAAGTGATGAGTGTGGAATGATTCCTGTCAGGGCCCCGTCTTGGCCAGCCCTCGTGGTGACACAGGGTCCGGTGAGGTGGGCTCCTCTGGCTGATGAAGGACCTTATCTCATCAGACGGCAAAAGACCAGAGGGCCCCACTGTCTGCTGAGATGGTCCTGCTGAAGCGCCTGTCTTCTCTACTCAGCAGACAAGACTAGAGGAAGTTGAAGTCTATACCTCTCCTCACCAGGCAGCAGACAACAGCGTCCAAGGTTACCCCTCACTCTCCCATGGTCCAGCCCTCGCCATAGTAACGAGCCATGTGTGATGATGTGGGGAAAGTCTGCCTGACACACATGGCCACGAGAAGCAAGATGTCAGGTGTATACATATGACATCCACCGAGACGTCACTTATTGAAGGACCAGCCAGAAATAAGATGTCAATCAATAGTTAGTCTAAGCCTCTCTCTCTCTCTCTCTCTCTCTCTCTCTCTCTCTTCAGGGTGCTTCGAAACTCTGTATTTGAAGCTTTTATTTGGAGTTTCAGAACAAGAAATTTCACGACCAATAACAAAATCAGCTTAATTTTTAGGTTTCGGTTTCATGAATCTTAAAATGTAAAGTATTTTTTCGGTACGTCGGTGTAGACAATTTTTAGGAAAGGAGGAGAGATTTTTTAGGGAGGGGGGAGATTTTTTAGGGAAGGGGGAGAGATTTTTTAGGGAGGGAGGAGAGATTTTAGAAGGGAGAGGAGGAGAGATTTTTAGGAGGGGGAGAGATTTTTAGGAGGGAGGAGATTTTAGAGGGGGGGGAGAGATTTTTTTAGGGAGGGGGGAGATTTTTAGGAAGGGAGGAGAGATTTTTAGGAAGGGAGGAGAGATTTTTTAGGAAGGGAGGAGAGATTTTTAGGGATTCAGAGACACTCGGGACAAGACTGTAATCTAAGGGCGTCTTTGGACCTCCTGACGCTGCCCTGACTGTGAGGATAGTGTGTGAGGCAAGAAGATAAGGGTGGGTGAGGCAAGTGGATGAGGGTGGGTGAAGCAAGTGGGGTGAAATGGCATCCCTAGCTGAGTCTGGAGCCTGTCTTGCTTTTTGAGAGGGAGGGAGGAGAAGGTAGGTAGAATGGGAGGAAAGGTGGAGGGGAGAGAAGGTAGGTAGAATGGAGGGAGGAAAAGGTGGAGGAGAGAAGGTAGGAGAGAAGGTAGGTAGAAGGGAGGGAGGAAAGGTGGGAGAGAAAGTAGGTAGAAGGGAGGGAGGATAGGTGGAGGGAGAGAAGGTAGGTAGAAGGGAGGGAGGAAAGGTGGGAGGGAGGAAGGAAAGAGATGAGTGCTTGATGGTATTTTTAGAACTCTCTCTCTCTCTCTCTTCTCTCTCTCTCTCTCTCTAGCGTCGCCATCTTCTTCAATATACATTTACTGTTTCTTTCATAAAATTGTCAAGGTTTCTATGGGAGTAAAATGGAAATATGAGGAGAGGGCAGGGAGGGGGGGGAAGACGCCTTTGTGTGTGTCCGTGAGTGAGGGAAGGAAAGACAAGATGAGGGAGAGAGAGAGAGAGAGAGAGAGAGAGAGAGAGAAGAGAGAGAGAGAGAGTAGGTGTTTTACTTCCATGTCTTAACAAGTTTTGAAGCAAATGGCGAAAGTTTGGTGTGTTTGTTTACTCTGTGTGTGTGTGTGTGTGTGTGGTCTCTAAGGATCTCTGGATCAATGCCTGGTCTTCCCTAGTCCACCCAGCTGTATATAGGTACCTGACTATTCCTGTTGCGGAAGTAATGGCGGTCGAGTGCAGTGCCGACCCCTCTGGCTCTGTGTTAATTGGATGTTTATGTAGTAACACTATCTATCTATCTATCTATCTATCTATCTATCTATCTATCTATCTATCTATCTATCTATCTATCTATCTATCTATCTATCTATCTATCTATCTATCATCTCCCTCCCCCTACACAACTGGAAATAAATATCAACATGGCGTCGGGGCTGCACAGAGACTTTACCTCGGGAATTTGATTAAGAGGAAGGCGAGGCGGCGAGGAAGGCGAGTGAGGTGAGGAAGGCGAGTGAGGCGAGGCGGCGAGTGAGGTGAGGCGGCGAGTGATTTAGGTGATTGGATCTTCCTACCTAGACGACTGACGACTCGCCCTGATGGAGTGTGTGTGTGTGTGTGTGTGTGAGATAGTGTGGTAGAGTAAAGAGAACAAGGACTGTGAATTAATATGCATTTTGTCCAATCGTTTTGTCCAGTATTTTCTCGAATTGTTTTGTCTCTCTTGTCCAGCTTTATCTCTGCGTTTCCAATAGTTTTGTTCATTATTATCTCCAGTCATTTTGTCTAGAATTTGGTTTGGTTTAATCAGTTTTGTCCAATATTTAGTTCAACTTCTTTTTCTAATAGTTTGTCAGTCATTTGGTTCAGCATATTGGGGATGTATTTTGTCCAATAATTTTTCCCTGTCTTTTGTCCAATAATTTTTCCCTGTCTTTTGTCCAACTATACTATCTGTGTTTTCTTCGTTATTCCAACACTGGTTTCAATATTTTGTCCATCTCTCATTTAGTCTAATCGTTTTGTTCACTGTTAGTCATTTGTCCAATTTTATGCCTTATTTTGTTGAATAATTTTGTCCATCATTTTTTGTCCAATTTGTCCAACAGTCGGTGGAAGACGTCCTACTGCCGCTCGTCCACAGTATACCTGGCCTGGTCACCTCGGGAAGTACTTAACTTAAAACTCTGTGGACAGTATCCACTTGTCACTGCCCACATTGCCGCTACATTTTCCTCACTAGTTCACCCGCTACTCACTATAGGTGTACTTTACCTCCCTCGCTCTAGTACACCTATTGATACTTAGGAAAGTACTTTATCTTCACCGTGGACAGTACCCGCTAGTATTATTGCCACCAACCCACGCTGATGTTACTTTCCCTCACTTTGTCTTCTCACGTATGGTACTTTCCACCCGTTGAGTCGATGTGGAAAGTACTTCATCTCACTTTGGGCAGTACTTTCCACCACCCACCTTTGCTGTTGCTGCCACTAGTACTTACCTCTAGCACACTTTATAATTCAGTGGCACTTCCTACTCTCACACCTGTTGACATTTACCACTATATCATACACACACACACACACACACACACACACACACAGCTGCTCGTTGGTCCCACCTGTTGGTTTCAGTATTTCCAGCCATTTGCTGTCTTATTTATTACAGGTGACCTCCTAACATCTAACCTAACCTAACCTGAAATCAGCTACCTTAACCTAAGGTAACCAAACATAACCTGACCTCTACCTCCCCTAATCTAACCTAACCTAACCTGAAATTAAACTTACTTGCCCTCATTTAAACTAACCATGCATAACCTAACCTCATCTAATTATACCTGACCTGACCACACCTGACCTGAATTAGCCTCCCAGAACCTACCCTCATTTGCCCTGACCTGACCTAACGTCTCTGGTATTGGTTTGTGGTAAATATTAATCGTTTTAATTGTCAATATTTACTGACTAGGAATCACACCTGCCCATCACAACACCTGTAGTCACCTGTACAGAGGCTGCACCGTCACTGTAAGCACACCTGTTTCACACTTTTCCGCCTCTCACTCGACACGTATCACTCTCCGCGGGTGCTGTGCGAAAGGACGCCTCGTAGCACTAATGCACACAGCACATAATATGTACTTAGATTACATGTGGTTTAGAGATAAGAGTATATATGGTACTCAGTAGTGGAGTACAGGTACTGTATCTCTGATGTGTACTACTGCTCTGAGTACAGGTAAATTAATCACCGTTGAGATACTAGGTACTTCAGTGTTCAACCAGGTGTTTATGGTGGCAATAGAAGGCTTGTACATGTAACCTGTATCTTCACCTGGGCGAGTACTGTAGCTTTGAGTACCTGTAATTACTCTATTTCAGGTACAGCCAAGTATGATGTTGGCTGTAGGAGGGTTGTACCTGTAACCTGTTACGGGTAGTCGAGAGTGTGGGTCTTGTACAGCCGTGAGAACTCCTGTGCACACCCGGCAGTGTTGTAGTAGTAGTGAACAGATTTATATAACGAGCGGTCACCGTTGAAGCCTGCTGTCACCCTAGTGCATCATATCAGTAGTCTTTTTGGGGAGAGGGAGATGTAAATAACTTCCATTCAATCATCGTGTGTTAACTTCACCTCTGAGAACTACTTTTACGGGGCCCCTACTTTTTCAGGTGTTGGCTATCCAAGTGTTTTCTCTTGGGGGGGTGGGTGGGGGGGGGGCTCGCAGCTTCAATTTTTTTTGGTTTCTAGTGATCGTGTGAGCGGTGTTCGGTAGTTGTGACACTTATCTCTATCCGCTGATCTCCCTTGTGTTGGCTGGCAGGAGTGACGCTTCTCTCCGTCCATAAGATCAAGTGGGTCATGGTCACTCAGAGCCTCCTAGTGCGTGGCACGAGAGCTGCCCCTTGGCTCGGTCAGTTCAGGAGTTGTGTGGCCCCCCCCCCTTCCCCTTTACCCTGATAGAAGTTCGATCGAGGCTATACACGTGACGTCACTACAGGCGTGGTGGTGGCTCTCCCTCCGGCCAGTTTAACCCGGGAATCCTTATGACTAATTTCCGGAGATGTTAAGCCAATGAAACAACTGGTGTAAATTTTTGTGGTATAATCAATGGACGTAACTTGGTGTCCAGTGGAAAATTAATTGTTACAAATAGATTCTGTGACAATCGTTGAAATGGCTTTACCCCTTTACTGAGATTTATCTATTATGATATTGATTTTAGAATGTATAAGAAACACACTAAGTATGACAATCTTTTATGGAGTTAGAGATGTCTTATGGTTATATATAAAATAAGAAATAAACTACTACTTTATATTCAGAGTAGATTAAAAATAATAGTCAACGCTGTAACAGTATACATCATTAACCATTCATAAAAGCTCTAAACAAACTTACACTGACAGTAAAAACTTCAAAAGTCGACAGTAGTGTTAATAAAATACACCAGGGGAATTTGCTCTCACGAAACCTATGTTATGAGACAGCCACGAGATGTAGTGAGGCTGGAGGGGGAGGGTACTGGGACCTCGGTGTCTGGGCTCCAATCTACTGCACACCGTTAACTCACAGCGCCGCCGCCAGTGTCCGGGTGTAGTGAATGTGGCTAGAACATGCATTACAACATACAAAGTTTATATTTTTCTATTTTTTTATTCATATCGGTATTAATATAATCATTTTATTTATATAGTTTATATTGATGTTATATTCAACCACCTAATTACAACTTGTCAACCAATGTGACTTAAAATAAACTTACCCATCACCCACTTCCGTGTTTACAGGACGAGTACCCATTCAGTTGTAGATATTTACACTACAACTACGACGCTGCCAGGTGTAGACAGGAGTTATCACAGGGGTGCAGAAATTCATTAACCTGCCTGTATCTGTGGCCTGTATCGACACCTGTATCAGTTCTGTACCTTGCCTGTGTTGGTTAATGGTGTGGTCATCGTCTATGGCCTGTGTTGGATAATGGTGTGGTCATCGTCTATGGCCCGATAACGATGATCTATGGATAACACTACTTGGTATCTAGAGCGTAGTTAGGTAATAGATAAGTGTGCCGTGAAGGTTGACAACTCGAATGGGTCCCAAATCCCAGGACGTCCGTTTCCATTAAGACTGAGAGGCCTATGCGGACTGAATCCTTTTAGGCTTCCAACCCATTAGGACTGGGGCCCCACTCTCGGTGATTAAATCAAGGTTGGATTAGTTCAGGTTGGGTTAGGTTAGGTTAGGTGGCGAGAATTATGCCCACTACAAGTACGTCAGCAAGGTGTGTCTCGTTGTCCTTCTACGTGATGAATAATCTGTCTTGTGTCTACAGTCAGGTGGGGAGGTGCGGCTGCCGGCGACACAAGGGATAGCGGGCCACGTCGCCACCACGGGTCACCTCCTCAACATAAGGGATGCCTACGCTCACCCGCTCTTCTACAGGGGCTTTGACGAGTGTACTGGCTTCAAGACCAGGTAGGTGTGTAGGGGAGGTTGTGTGTGTAGGGGAGGTTGTGTGTGTAGGGGAGGTTGTGTGTGTGTAGGGGAGGTTGTGGGTGTAGGGGAGGTTGTGGGTGTAGGGGAGGTTGTGTGTGTAGGGGAGGTTGTCTGTGTAGGGGAATTGTATATTAGGAAGGTGTATGTGTAACTCCATTTAACTTACCCAGGAATCTTTCAAGCTTTTCCTCCTCCTCCCTCCTGCAGAAACATCCTGTGCTTCCCGATCAAGGGGGACGGCATAGTGATCGGGGTGGCTGAGCTGTGCAACAAGACGACGGGTCTCCACTTCACCAGATTCGATGAGGAGATCGCCACAGCCTTCAGCATCTACTGCGGCATCTCCATCAGCAACTCCCTCCTCTACAAGAAGGTCTTCGATACACAGGTCCGCTCCAAACTCTCCAACGAGCTCATGATGTTCCATATGAAGGTAAGTCCTGTCAGATTCTTCCCTTATACCTTACCTTATGATTATTTACCTCAGGGATACCTTACCAACGAGAGTATGATAACTCTCCTGGGTATTAACGAAAGGTAAGTATGATTGATAATTTTTCGAGCTACTAAGCAAAGGTAAGTGTTGAAGTATTATTATTTATATGTCGTATTGGTTATATAACTGCACGTATAGGTGTTGTGGCTATAACGAATCCAATTATATATTTAGTCTTGTATCGTATATAAATTGTTTTTGGTACAACGAAGACAGGAAGGAGGAGGAGTCAAGGACAAGGGAAGAGAGAGACTGAGGAAGAGTGAGAAGGTGAATGGGAGAATGGAAAAGACTGGTGGAAGATAAGAGGAAGAGTGAAAGGTGAGGGGGAGACAAGGAGAAGGGAAGAGTTAAAGAGTGTAGTGTGAGAGAAGTGGAAGGTGACTCTTACATACAACCAGTAGCATCCCTATGTATGGTGAGCCAGTGTGAAATACTATGGTGATTTTTACTTAGATAATCAAGTCATTCACTCGCCGCCCTGTTACAGTGTGTGGGGGGGGTTTAGGTGATATTGTTATGGTTTACCCTGTGACTGAGAGAGAACGTACCCCAATCTGTTATAGTCACTTCAAAGAAAACGCAACTGATCTGTAGTCTGGAAGGCGTAACTATGCTATACAAATACCGTCTGCGAAGTATATAAGTATTAATGTTATTCCTTCGTTTAATATTGAAAGTATAATTACACATAATATTTCGACATCTACAAGGTACAATGATCCTCAAAAAGTTAAGGATAGTTACATAAGGGATTAGAGTAGTCTGTCTTAAAATATATAAATAGTTTAGTGGTGTTTATCGTGTTTTTTTTTTTTGGTAGACATTACCCATTTTGTGATATATAATACATTGGTTTAATATGTGTTACTCTAAGGAGGGTTTTGTGTGTATGTGTGTGTGTGTGTGTGTGTGTGTGTGTCGAGGATGGTGCAATAACTTCTCCCCAAAGTTACAGATGGGGTGATGGTGATGGTCAGAGAGAGCCGAAAGGGTTAGTGTGTTGAGCGTTTCTTGATATGTAGTTTAGGAGAGATAATCTTGCATGCCCTCTTTTGTACTTTATCTTGGTGTTACCGTTGTGTGGTATTTATGGGGGGGGGGAGACTAGGCAAGGGAAGCAGAGGTGAGCTTCGTACGTATGAAAGTTGAGTAAGCACTGAGGACCTCGGGCGTGGGACCGCTGAGGGACTTGAATCGACGGAGAAGGTCGTGACGAAAGCTGAGAGACTTGACAAATATTTTACTGACGTGTTTTACAATTTCGTATGTATGGTAACGCCGATGAGCTTAGTGGAGCTCATAAACTGGAGTGTGTTGGGGCTCAAAGTAATGGAGGAAGGTGGAACATGGTCGAAGGAGAGGTTAATATGCATAATCATGGTCTTGGTGTGGTTGAGGGTGACATGGTTGTTGGTGGTCCAATTTTGGAGACTGTTCAATTCATTCTGGAGGGCGCTGTAGTCGGGAGCCGAGTTGCTTACACTGATCCCAATGGTCATCGACATATTTCCAGCGTGTGGAAGTTTCTCTCAGGGCATCATTGTTAAGGAAGGCAATGGGTTGTAACTTATTTAAGGACTGTGGACTCGTTCACTTGGACTACTGCATCTATGTATCTATTTATTTTTTCGTACCTTTGAGCTTGTTGAGTCGTGGCTCACTGAAGAAGAATTATTAGTCACTGGCTGTGTTGAAAAATAAAGTTGAAGTTGACCCTATAGACCTAACTGCTCCTTCGGGGTAGTGCGGATGTAGTACACTGTAGACAAAGCCTTCAGTACACAACGTGGCCGATACTGCATACGACTGTCTTCACTTACCCCAAGTATAAGACTACTGTATGTACTCACTTACAGTTAGGTGTATTAAGGGTGCCCAGGCTTGAACCAGCGACGGGAGGCGGTCGTTGTATCCAATCGGCCGCCGCACCAAGTTCACTGCGCTAATCCACATTTAATGAAGCGACCCTCACTCAGGAAAGCAAAAAATATCAGTCGGGTCATGAAAGATAGTGACACTGAACTATTAAAACGTAGCCAAAAATACATTAGTTCTTACTCAAACTCTGCCCTCATCGTTTCTCAAATTTGAAGATTTAGAATGTGAAAACGTTTGGCAATTTTCAATTCCTTAATTAATTTTACCTCTTATCAATCTATTATAATTCAGCATGACTTGGAAAACACCAGATAGACTTTTTAACGAACCAATCAGAGGGCAGCTGCGGCTCTGAGCGATAGACGGAAATAAAAACTCAAGTGAAAAATACTAATTGGGATGTCAGTTCGCCTACGGCACTGTGATCAGATTATTTCGTCCAATATTCCATTATCTCTGCCAGCACAAGCCCGGGAAGCGAGACAGTGAACGAACCTATGTGGTGGAGGGAGGTTATTGCGCGAACGTCTCTGGAGCGAGTGGTCATTGGTCTTGTCATATTAAATGGACAGGAGAGTCGATAGCAGCGGTCACAGGATTGACTGAGTAACGGCTGTTTGGACGATACAATAAGGGAAATGACCACTGATAAGTGAAGAGTAAAAAGACGACTTGAATTCTATTTGCAATTTTGTCTCATGAGGTTTTTAATTATTTTTTTTTTACCAATTATATATTTAAGATTTCCTTCGATCAAAAATTGTGTAAAACGATTGAAGTAATTTGAGAAATGTAATAAGAATAATTAAATTTGATTCATGTAATTACAGTAGTTATTATTTAATGGCTGAATAACCATGGATAAAATTAAACTTATTTTTTTTAGTTTAGTGTTAACAGGTAAGGAAATATCACCCGGTAATTGACTTTGTTCTTTCGTCTGTCTGTCCGTCCGTCCGTCTATCTGTCTCTTGTGAAGTCTTGAACCAGGCAGTGTCTCCAGAACTTCTTCGCGGATCTTAACTAAAACTTACAGTAGTCTGGAACTTCACACCACGATTACTGAGCACACACACACACACACACACCATGTAAGAGCCGCCGCTGTGGTACGAACTACGAAACCTTTCCAAACCTTCAATAAATCAATGGTCCTTTGTGGCTTCCCCCTCCCCCCACACTCACTTGTCATTTGATGGGACCCATGCGTAATTGGTTGGGTTTGGTTAGATTTAGTTAGGTTAAGGTTAGATTACGTTAAGCAAGGTAAGTTGACGTTAACATGGGCTACGTTAATTGAGGCAGTTTCATACGATCGTAAATTACCAGTTAAGAAAAAAATAATAATTTAAGAACCTTTTAAAATTTCATCCCTGTTGATTGACCCTGTAGATATGATCACAGCTTAAGGGGAAAACTTAACACGGGCGCCTTGGAGAACCTATCTTAGTGTCCTTACCTTAAACCATGTGGGTGGGGGAGGTTAGGGGGAAGAGCAGGTTAGGGATGGTTAAGGAGTAAGGTTAATAGGTTAGGAGGGAAACAGGTTGAAGGATGGGGAAGGAGGAAGGGGAGTAGGTTAGGGGAAGGGCAGGTTAGGATGGGGAGGTTAGGAGGTGAGAAGGAAGGGACTACAGGGAGGTAAAGGTGGGGGGGAATTGAAGGCGATTGATTCGTCAACCAGAGAAGGATAGATGTGTGTGTGTGTGTGTGTGTGTGTGTGTGTGTGTGTGTGTGAGGACAAGGGGAGTTGGTGAGAGAGAGATAGACAGAGGTGAGAGAGAGAGAGAGAGAGAGAGGAGAGAGAGAGAGAGAGAGAATAATTAAGGACGGTGAGGAGAGATAAAGGTGGAGAAGGAAATTAAAGGTTCCTGGCAAGGAGGCTGAGAGATAGTGGCGGTGGAGGGATGGAGAGGTGGGGAGGGAGGGGAGAGGGAGGATGGAGGGAGGAGGGAGATGGGAGGGTGAGTGGTGATGGGAGGAGGAGATGGAGGGATGGAGTGAGAGATGGAGGGATGGAGGGTGGGGAGGAGGGAAGGAGGGATGGAGAGGTGGTGGGAGGGAGGGAAGGAGAGATGGGGGATGGAGAGGTGATGGGAGAGAGGGGGGAGGGAGGGAGAGGTAAAGGAGGGAAAGGAGAAATAGGTGGAGGAGGGTAAGAGGCAACTGGTAGTAGTGGTGATGGAGGAGGGACGAAGGGAGAGAAAGAGATAAAGAATAAAAGAGACGGAAGGAAGAAGGGAGAGAGGCGAAAGGGACGAGACATAGAGAGGAGAGACGGGAAGGAAGGAGGAGGGGAGTGGAGAGAAAGAGAACGGCGTGAAGGGAGGAAGAGTGAGAGAGGGAAGATAACAAGAAGATACTATAGATAAGGGAAACACAGGTCAGCCTAAGGGTCCGTGTCCACTTGGGAGTAAAGTGACCAACAGATGGATATGGTAGTTATTATCTGGTTCCCTTGAGTATTTCACTTCTAATTAACTCTAGATGGTTATCAGATTATTGACGATGAATTCACAGCATATTCATTGATGCAACAGGTGAAGGTTATTTGAATTTAAACACTTGAACATCAATGGTAATTATTGGCATTAGACAGGACGTTTGGGTTTTTTGTTGTTGTTGTTTACTTACCTGATGCCAAGAACCGAAGCGTCACCATAACTCGCTCGTGAACTGAAATGGCTTCCCTCATCCGTGTGTCTCTCTTGAAAATTAATGGCCCACCAATTTCACCAACTCTTCCACCTGAACTGATGACATACGGGTGAAATTACGGAACTGTTGAGCATCTTCTATCTGTAGTTCTTTCATAAGCCTGTTGTTAGCTCCCAGTTCACCTCGTCGTTCCACCCGGTGCTTTATCCAACACCTTCTTTTGTTTTTGCTTGTTCTTCTCCAGCATCAGCATAACTATTACTGCTGCGGCAGACTCTCTGCCACGTCCTCTACCACCCATTGCTACCGACTGACTGAGAGTCACTATAGAGTACAGCTCTTGTCAGGTGGACACACCGCTGAGAGTTCTCTCCGTCAGCTACTGTCGGGAAGACTCT